AACACAAAAATTGGCTTTAAATGACAATTGGACTGCACAGGCCACTGTTGGGCCGCTGCATATGCGAATTGGGCCGCACAAAGGGCTGGCCCAACACTTTCTAAAGGCTGAAGGCACGCGGGCTCGCGGGCTTCATCTGCTGAGACAGGGGACGGGCTGCGCGCGGGCTGGAATCGGGCCCTATGGCCCGCGCGCTGAAGCTGGCCCTCAATAAAAAAAAACTATTAATTACGCAAGGGAATGGATTCGAACACCCGACCTCCCTCACGGAATAGCGCCCAGATGGCCACTGCGCTACACGCTTTTTCGTTCTTTTCTATGAAATGAAATATTACTAGATTTAAAAGGAGGCCTGCGAACTACTGAACAGAGTTTAGAAATTTTTTGCAGACTGCAACCAGAGACTCATCCCGCGACAATATCAGTTCAACCAAGGTTCCAAAATTTTCAGAAAATGAGAAAATAACCTTACTTTCTCAGAGTTCAAGTATTTTTGAAATCGGGATTAAAAATTGTTCGAAAACGAAATGACACAGTTCGAAAACCAACGAACAACACCTCCACGGCATAGTTCCAAATAGCAAAGCGAGACTCCGACCAAATCGAATAAATACAGCAGCAACATAAAGGGTTCGACTTTCATAAACAAGAGTCCCAATTATCCACGAATAAACGAAATATACATACAAACAATTAAATGAACTAAAAAAAATCCGACTTCAAATCAAATTTCGATAGATAAAACACAACATATATATAACATGTGATATATGAAAACGACCGTAATAACGAGAGGATTCAAATAAGTTACCCGACTTCGGGAAACTACGAGTTATCGAACGGAAAACGGGGCCGACAACGGGTCGAACAACCGACTTTGGGACTCTGAACTCGAAAGCTTCGGGATACGCAGCTCACAAACGGCTGCTGCTCTGGAATCGACGACGGACGGTCAACCGTTGCGGAGGTGCTCACCGGGATTAATGGCGGACGGCGAACGGGCTTCTGTGACAAGTCAGGGAACTTCGTTTGTCGACGCTTGTCCCTTGCTGCTCGAGGACGGACGACAGTCACTCAAAAGAAGCGATCTGCAGCGTCTCTGCTTGGGG